ATAATGGTCATTGTTATATTATTCTTACAATTGGTATTTCAGTACCGTATAGCGAAAATTTTTTGTGGATTTCACATTTTTTTCAAAACCCACAAAAATAAAATCCATGAAAATTGATTCTATACAATTTAAGATGGCCGAAATGTAGAAAACCACACAAAATAAAGCCACAAAATTGATTTTTGGATGGATCTGCGAAAATTTTGGGCCATGAAAATTTTCCGCTATACGGTATTTACATTTTCAGTGGGACAGGAATTGTTAATTATCAAATTAATGGAGTCCAACACTTGACCATCTAATGCTGCACTTTGATTCGAATAATTACCAGCACACATCTCGATGAGGCACTGTAAAGCAAACAAACAAATAAATAAACAAACAAAATAAATAAAAAAACTATGTTTACTTGTATGGCTTTAGTCATTGTTTCAGTAATCATAGCTGATTCAGTTTCATTTTCTTGTTTTATTTCAGCTAGTGTCTCCAGGAGTGCAGCTGTGCCGCTAATGACATTAATATTCTAATTGTACAAATAATAGAAATTGTTCCTTTCCCTTCTGCTTACGAATGAGCTGTCTTGCTCCTTCATGATTGCTTGAAGTTTTCTGTTCTGTCCATCACAGAGAGAAGAGATGAGGTCCAAGCAAACACCAACTTGATGCAACCACACGTCCTGTACATCATTAGGAGGGACACTACATGTACATCTATGGTACCTGTTTAACTTACCAATTCATCAGCTGGTTGGGGATCTAATAAAAGAAGTGTTGATTAATTATAATGAAATACATGCAGAGACTTACAGGTGGTGATAAAAGATGTAGTATTTGTAATTGGTGGTACATTAGGAGAAAAATCAGTATCCTCCTACACATTAATAAATAGACTCTACCACCAGTATAATGAATACTTACTTCTATTGATACAACAATGTCACCACCAGGAGTCTGTTGCCTAGTGTCATCATCATTAATACGATTCTTACCAGAATGCTTCTATTAATTATAATATAAGTGTATAACATATTGTTGCTGTTTCTAATACTCACCTCTGGCTCTCTCGACAAGAAATCTCTACATAATAAATAAATAAATAAATAAATAAATAATATTTATACAAGACTAACTTTGGTATATGGCTGTATTGGAGTATCACTGAAATCAGTTTGTAGATTGACAAGAAGAAGTTGGCATTATTAGCAATCCTGTCACAGATGCAATCCTGAGTCTCTTCATTCCCATTGAACACAAGAGTATAGAGGAACCCCATTATCTGGACACATATCTTCACATCTGGATTGGACATATGCTTTAGCACCTGTAATGAAAGAATGAACAATAATAATAATAAATAATAATAATAATAATAGTAATAATAATATAGATGTACCGACTAGCCTCTATATAATGGACACTGTGTCTCTGTTATACAGAGGTGTCCTTTATGTGGAGGTTATTTTATACAGTAAGGAATGTAATTGGTACACTAGGTGCTGTCCGTTAAATGGAGGTGTATGCTATAGAGAGTGTCCATTAAGAGAGGCTACACTGTATACATGTTACTTATATTTACCAG